AACAATGAATCATGGAACACTTCATCTAAAACTAATGATGTAATGTATGGGGATTAACATAAGAATATAAATAAATAAATAAATAAATAAATATGGATTTAGTAGTCTTTCAGATGGTTCTCATTTCTAGCTTTCAATAGTATGAACTTTCTCCATTTTTATGTATCTATTCCAGACTGTTTTTTTTTTTGTGTGTGTGGTTTATACCTTTTACTTCGAGGTTATTTTCAGAGGGTTTGTTTTCTATGAGAATCTTAATACACTCTGGGTTATGGAAATGAGTTTTGCAGTCAGATTTTCTCTGATTCTTTCCTTTCCCTTTTTCAGGGTTTGCTGATTTTCTTTAGTGATATGTTTGGATTTCTTTCTCTTTATTCTTTGTATATTTATTAGTGGTTTTTGATTTGTGGTTTCCATCAGGTTTATATAAAACCTCTTCTTCATGTAACAGTCTATATTAAGTTCATGGTCATTAAAGTTTGGACTCATTCTTTACTCTCCTCCTCCCCACATTTTCAATATATGTTCTTATATTTCACATATTTTTGTGAATTCCTTGACTGTTTTTTTTTACAGAAATATTCATTTTTACTGCTTTTGTGATTCCTACCTTTATACTGTCACTTTTGGTCCTTCCTTTCCACCCAAACTGTCCCCTTTAATATTTCATGCAGGGCTGGTTTAGTGATAATGAACTCCTTTAGTTTTTGCTTGTCTGGGAAACTCCTTATCTCTTCTCCTTTTCTGAATGATAACCTTGCTGGATAGGGTATTCTCAACTGCAGATTTTTCCCATTCAGCACTTTGAGTGTATCATACCACTTCCATCTGGCTTGAAACATTTCTGTTGAAAAATCTCCTGCTAGCCTTATCGATTTTCCCTGGTAAGTTACTTTCTTCTTTTGTCTTGCTGCTTTAAATATTTTTTATCACTATATTTTGCCAATTTAATTACAATATGTCTTGGTGTGTGTCTGCTTTTGTTGATATTGATGGGGGTTCTCTGTGTCTCCTGGATCTGGATATCTGTTTATTTCCCCAGATTAGGGAAGTTTTCAGCTATTATTTCTTCAAATAAATTTTCTGACCCCTTTTCTCTCTCTTCTTCTCCTGGGATTTCTATAATATGAATGTTATTATGTTTTATGGAGTCACTGAGTTCCCTAACTCTATTCTTGTTTTGCATAATTCTTTTTTATCTCATGTTCAGTTTGATTACTTCACATCATTCTGTCTTCTGGGTTACTAATTCATTCCTCTCCTTCTTCCAACCTCTGTTCATTCCACGAAGCATGTTTCTCATTTTCTTTATTGTGTCCTTTATCTCTGCTATATTGTTCCTTACCTCTGTGTTAAGGGTCTCACTCATGTCTTCTACTCTTCTCAGGTCCAGTGAGTATCCTTATGATCAATGCTTTAAATTCTCTACCAAGGCATGTTACTTATATCTGTTTCGCTTAGATCTCTGGCTGTGGCCTTGTCCTGTTCCTTCATTTGAGATAAATTTCTCTGTCTTCTCATTTTGTCTACATCTCTGTGTTAGGAACATTAGCTATGTCTCCTGTTCTTGAGGGTAATGGCCTTATGAGGAAGAGGTCCTGTAGTGCCCTGCCATATACTGTCCCCTGTTCCCCAGGACCTGGTGCTTCTGGGAATGTCTCCAATGTGTGCTGCCTGTACTCTGCTGTTTTGTCCTGGCTGCTTTATCCTTCAGGCCAGTTATCTACAGAGTCTCTCTTTGCCTGTTGTAGGCGGTGTTTGGTCCCTGGCTTTAACGTGGCATGTTTTAACCAGGTGTGCTTTTGTCTGATTGTGATATGAATCTGTTGCCACTGCTGGCAGAACAGAGGCTCTGCAAAACTCCCACAGTGGGATGTGTGGTGTGAGCAGGGGTTGTTTGGGCGGTCTTCTAGGGGAGGTGGCCTGCTGCACCAGGACTGGGCAAGTATGGTTCAAATGAGTGGTTCCACTGGAGTGTATCAGGGGTTGGGTTTGGTATACACAAGTTAGTTAGCGAATGTCGGCACTGCACTGGTTCCTGCAGGGAGCCCTGTGCTTGTGCTGAGGGTCAGGGGAGGGAAGTGGTTCTGGCCAATTCTTTTGTTTCCAGAGGTGTCTCTCCATGAATGCTGCCACTCTGGGACTCATAAATGAGCGAGTAACCTTCCCAATGTGTGCTGCAGGTGCTCTTCCAATCACTGTTTCCATGCTGTATGTCTGCTAGTTGTTTGCCTGACTTCTCCCCAAGAGCAGTGCAGTACCCCCTGGGCTGTATCCCAGTCAAGCTCATTGACTTTCAAAACTCCAGGCTTTAAACCCCACTGGTTGCAAGAACTCACAAAATTCAGCCCCTCTCACTTTCCAAACCAACTGGTATGGGGATTCATTTTTCCTGTGTGCTCCCCTCTGTGTTAGTCTATCTCTCACCCTTCCCTCCCTTCCACAGTAGCCATGATCTGTTTCTCTCCCAAACTGCATCTCTGCACTTCCTACCTTCTTCAGTGTGGCTTCTTTTCTACCTGTAGTTCTGGAGTTTATTCTGCTAGTCTTCAGGTCAACTTCTGGTGCATTTAGAATAATTTGATAGTATCTAGTTGTATTCATGGAAAGAGGCAAGCCTAGGGTCCTCCTACTCCACTGCCATCTTCCATCCTTGGACCAGATTTTTTTAAAATTTAAATTCAATTAGCCAACATATAGTACATCATTAGTTTCATATGTAGAGTTCAATAATTCATCAGATGTGTATAACACTTAGTGCTCATCACATCACCTTCATCACACCCACATCATATCACCTCCTTAATACCTGTCAACCAATTACCCCATCCCCCCATCCACCTCCCCTCCAGCAACCCTCAGTTTATTTCCTATAGTTAAGAGTCTGTGGACCAGATGTTAAAACCTTTTGATCTCAAGACCCCTTCATAGCCTTAAAAATTATTGAGAATCTCACAGAGCTTTCGTTTTATGTGGGTTAGATCTATCAATATTTACCATGTTACCATGTAACAAATTAGAACTGAGAAGATTTGAAGATATTTATTAATTTATTTTAAAAACTATTATAAACCAATAAATGTTAACATGATATATATTTTTATGAAAAGTAACTATTTTTCAAAACAAAAAAAATTAGAAAAATTGTTTTACATTTTACATTACAAAATGTCTTTAATATCTGTCTTAATAGGAGAAAGCTGAATTATCATCTGTGCTCTTACATTCAAGCTGTTTTGTATATGTTATTTTGGTGGAAGCATGTGGAGAAAATCTACCCTCACACAGATATGTGGTTGGAAAAGGATAGACCTCATGGAACTCCTGAAAAGGTCTGTGGAGCTCTACGGGTCCTCAAACCATATCTAAAATATCACTGCACTCTAAGAAAATTTTGTTGAAAAATTAGTTTGGAAAATTCTCCTTCTGGGAAACATGAAAGATTAGAGGTAAATAAGATAGTGGTGATATAGGAAGGATATATAAAATTTTTAAAAAACTTTTACCTGGGTTAAATTGTGAAAGAAATTTCTGTTGGGAAAAAGAGGAATCATATTTTAGTAAATAGCACACTAAATATTAGTTTGAATATTCCACTTTCAATATACATATTCCTAAGTTCTTCCATATTCTCCTTATATTCTATTACAGATATATAAACAAATACTAAATGTTAAAAAAGCTACATATGTCTATAATTAAACAGAACTATTGATTCTCACGTGTCATCATGTGTCAAAGGGCTGAGAGGCTTGAATCTGCATTCTGCCTTAACAATACTACAAGTTCATATAGCTAAAGTTGCATGAGTATTAATCTTTAAAAATGTGACATGATCATTTTGCCTAAGAAAACCTGTAGTGTTTACATGCTGTAATTTATGTCAAATACAAGTTCATTAATTAGCAATGCAAATCCTTTATTAATCAGCCTTTCAATGTAAATTTTCTGAAAGGGACAACATTCATTTGTATGTTAAGTTGCATGTTTTTTAGAAAGTGATTTTTTTTTTCATTTAAAGATATCTATATTTTCTTTATCATATAATCCAAAAAAGTCAATGCCTCAGGACTCTTTTATTGGCCGATTGCTGCACAATGCCCAGTACATTATTAAATGTAAAACAAATGAAGATATTTCAGGAACCAGTAAATATGTATGCAGTGAATGTCTGAGACCCATATAAGGAAAACAAAATTTCATATATTCAACCTGATATTAGGAAAAAAATGAAAATAAGTACTATAAATCTTTTTTTAAGATTTTTTTTTGTTTGACAGAGAGAGAGAGAGAGAGCTCACAAGCAGGGGGAGTGGCAGGCAGAGGGAGAGGGAGAAGCAGGCTCTCCACAGAGCAGGGGGAGCCCGATGTTGGACTCGATCCCAGGACCCTGGGATCATGACAGGAGCCAAAGGCAGACGCTTAACCGACCGAGCCACCCAGGAGCCCCAGTACTATAAATCTTGATAGGCAAATGTGCTAAGAGTTCACAAAGTACTAAGTTGATCAAAAAGATCCATAGCTCCAGGGCTGGTATGTCTGCCCTGTGTTATGCTACTTGTCAGAGGTGCAGGAAATAAGAACAGAAGTGAAAACTGAGTTACTTATCTGGAAAGGAATATTTAAAGGCAAAAGGAGAAATGTACTGATAATATGAGAAAGCTTTATTTAGTATTAATACTAAAAACCTTATAAAAAGTAACCTTGTAGAGAGATAGTATCAGTTGATGTTAAAGTAATAACCTTGATTCCCATGGATGATTAGCAACATTCTGTTGGATCTTTATCAGTTTGCTTGGCGTCCTTGAATTGGTACACAGACTGAAGGTAATAAGAATAAGAGGGTCAAGGAAAGAAACCTGAATGGAGCTAACATTTAAGGTAAGGACAGATCATAAAGAGCCAAAGAAAGAAACTGGGAAAGGATCATCATAGAAATAGAAGAAGCTGATGTCACCAAGATGGTGCAGTAGGAGAAGCCAGCCTCTGTGCCCCCACAAAAATCAATAATTAGACAGCTATCTATAAACAAACAGTTCTGGAGTGCTCAAGAGTCAACTTAAGAAACTTCAACATAGTGGAACAAAAACCTGAGAACAACTGCACAAAAGAGGAAGGAAGAATGCTTCATTTGTTCCATATCCCCCCATCTACTGAGCTGGCACTGCTCAGCACCAAGAGGGAAACCGCCAGCTAGAGAATTCCCTTCTCCAGAAAAGGGAACACAGGGAGAGGGACCAGCTTCCCCAGTCTTTCTGGGTATTGCATGAAGGACCTGCTTTTGTTTCACCCCACCCAGGGACCAGCAAACCTGAGATGTATAGAGATGACTAGGAACAAGGAAGAAGGGCAGGGGTTACCAGTATCAGCCACACAGTGGGAGCAACCAGGGTTCCCAGTGACCTGCTCTTTAGAGAGGACCTGGCAGCTTTCACCATAGAAGAAACAATTGATCAGTATAGTCACCATGGACCCCTGCAGATTTCACTAGTTTTTACCCCACAGGTTTTTGCATTTGCAGATGCCAGCTGCTTGTGTCCCTTCCCATTCCCCTCCCCTCACTCCTGTCAGAGAATGGGATCCACACAGGCAGCTAGCCCCAGCCTCTGCAGCTGTGCAAGTGCAAGATGCAGCCCAGAACCCCACAGCTGACCTCCACCCCCTTGTGGGTGCTTGGGGCTAGCTTCTCCAAATGTGCACCTATAGGCCCCCCAGCCCGACTTCCATTACTTGCTCTGCTACCATGAGCATGTCTGTGGCAAGACCCCGCAGCAATGGGAATACATCCCAATGGCCAAGGCTCTCAAAGCTGTTTGTGAGCCCAGACCTGGCCCTGTCTACTATCACTGGCCTCCATTGCTGTTCTTGCATCTATGGTGAGACATCACAGCCACAAGACATAGACAGTCAGGGCTCCTATAGCTGCTAGTGTGCCTGCATTCAGCCTGGCCCTTGCCCTCAACACTATGTGTGTGTCTGAAACTGACCCCTGCCAGTACACTGAAAACTACAGCAGGCTCCCACAGCTGAATATGTGCACATCACTGGCTTGGGCCACTATGACTTCCTGCTCTGGTTCCTAGTCACTGGACCTGGAGGAGCTGCTTAGAACCCTAACAGCCCTTGCAGTGACTATGGACACTACACAGCACTTGCCCGATACCACACAGCTGTTGATGTTATGGACTCCAGTGGCCTGAGCTAATGAGACATCATGCCTCCCTGAACCCAAAGATGCCACATGCCCCTAAGGTGCCTTACATCATGAGACCTGGGGTCATAGCACACTCTACCCCGAGGTAAAGGTTTTCCTTAGCAAAGTTAGTCTTCCAAAATTTGGAAGAGGTGACTGCTTCTTCAAATATGTAGATACTTATGTGAGGCTAAAGGGAACATGAAGAATCAGGGAATCTTGACACCACCAAAGGAACACAGTATATTCCAGTAATGAAGCCCCCAAAATGGAGATAAATACCCTAAAAAGGAATTCAAAACAATGGTTCTAAAGATGACCAGAGAGCTACAAGAGAACAAAGATCAACAATTTAATGAAATCAGAAAAACAATAGAAGAACAAAATGAGAATTTCAAAGATAGAAAACATTAAAAAAAAAAACACACAGAAATTTTGGAGCTAAGGAATACAATGACTACACTGAAGAATTTACAGGAGAGCTCCAACAGAAGCCTGGATCAAACAGAAGAAAGAATCAGTGAACTCAAAGGCAGATCATTTGTAATTACCCAGTTCAGAAAATAAAAAATAAAAAAATAAAAAGGAATGACCAAAGCCTGTGAGACTTATGGGATACCATTAAGAGAAACAATCTATGTATCACTGGGGTCCTAGAAAGAGAAAAGGAGAAACTTAGAAACTTAAAGATAAAATGGCTGAGAACTTCCCAAACCTAGGGAAAGATTTGATATTTGATATTCAAGTTCATAAAGCTGTCACTGCAAAATTACAATCTAAAATGATCTTCTCCACAACCATTATAATAAAACTGTCTAAAACCAAAGATAAGAAGGGAATTTTTAAAGCAGCAGGAGGAAAAAAAAATCCTCTCATACAAAGGAATTCCCCTTAGGTGAACAGTTGATTTCTCAGCAGAAACCTTACCGGTCAGGAGAGTGTGAGATAACATATTCAAAGTGCTAAAAGAAAAAATTGTCAACCAAGAACACTTTACCAGTAAATCTTTCCTTTGGAAATGAAGGCAGGATGAAGACTTTCCCAAACAAATAAAAGTTGAGGGGGTTTATCACTACTAGAATTTCCTTACAAGAAATGCTGAAACAGTTCTTTAAGCCAAAATAAAAGGCTTTTTTTTTTTTTTAAAGATTTTATTTATTTATTTGACAGAGAAAGACACAGCGAGAGAGGGAACACAAACGGGGAGTGGGAGAGGGAGAAGCAGACTCCCTGCCAAGCAGGGAGCCCGATGCGGGACTCGATCCTGGGACTCCAGGATCATGACCTGAGCCGAAGGCAGTCGCTTAACCAACTGAGCCACCCAGGCGCCCAAAATAAAAGTCTTCTAATAAGTAAAAAGAAAACATGAAAATACATAACACACTAGTAAAGGTAAGTATATGATGAGATTCTGGATAAGTTAATATTGTAACAAGGTGGTGTGTTAGCCACTTACCTTTAGTATAAATGTTAAAGGACAAAATTATTAAAAACAGTTATAGCTGAAATAATTTGGTAACAGATTCACAACATAAAGAGATGTAGAGTTCTGGGAAGATGGCAGAGTTGGAGGATCCTGAACTCTCTAAATCCCACAGAAACACTGACATTAACAGCCATATGAGTGCAACTAATACAGAAAGCGACCCAAAGACTAGCAGAACAGACTTTCCACAGTTAATCACAGAGAGGAGGCCACATTGAAAAGGGTAGAAGGGGCAGAAACATGGTTGGGAACCCAACACTCTGGTGAGATTAACCACAAATGGGAGGAACATCACAAGCATGGAGAAGCAAGAGCATCAGACTCCACACCAGGCACCCCAGGTATTGGGGACCCAAACTGGGAAGACGAGTAACCATGATATTTGGCTCTAAAAACTGGTGGGGCTCAATTTCATGAGTTTTTATAATCAACAGGGCTTAATTCTGAATACTATAAAAATCAGAGGGCTTAGCTCCAGGAGATCCAGAGGGCAATAGGAAACTGAATCCCCACCCTTAAAAAGCCAGCATAATAAATAACCCAGCCACAATATAGCATAGAAGCAGCAATTTGGAAAGGGCCTGAGGTATATGGCAGATTTATTTACTGAGGTGTAGATTTATTTACTAATCTCAGAATGTGTGCTGGAGCAGCAGGGAGAATCTTTAGGAGACTTCTCCAAGAACAAAAGAGCTGGCAGGCACCATTTCTCTGCCCCCTGCCAGCCTAGACAGCTGAAACTTGTGGGAAATGGCATGAACACAATCCACATATCTTGCCAACACTGCATGTTCCGCCTCCATGCTCTCCTGCGTGTCCACCCCATCCAACCTACCCCACTTAGCAGGTGTC